ATCACGAGAAATTATCTTAAATTCGGTCACTTGATTTGTGTATCGAAACGAACAAACGGATCAATCCTCGTCTAGAGAGCCTTTTGATAATCGTGTAGTCCGTATAATGTCAATCATATCTATTTCTCAACTGAAAAATATTTGAAACTTTAAAGCCTTGAATATGAGGTTTTCACGGTCCGAAGCAACTTCATAATCCGATAATTGACTAGATTGAATAAGGATAGTTCATTACTTGTAGGGACTTAAATTAGAAAATATTTTACGACACCAACTTTTAATAGATTTGAAATAGATGAAATGCATTATCACTTTAATTTCTCTCAACCTTCTAACTTCAATGCCAAAATCCTCATTTTTCGGGTACCACCACAGTTAATATCAATGGCAAATAATTTGTCCTAATTTTTGTACACAAAACTTCCACAATTCTTGGGTTTCGATTCAATGTTTAAATACAACGTATATATCTTCTTGTTATGGAAATTCATCTTGCATTTTCTTGGAGGAACCCTCTTTTTTTTTTTTTTCTTGTGCGTGACAAAGGAGGGTGATCTTTTACATTCTTTACAGCTCCAAGAAAATTGCAGGTAGATGGGTGAAGTCGAACCATGCTAGTTGTACAGCTGAGGTTGAGAACCTCGGTTGACAACCACTTACATGGGGGGTCCACCTCTGTTTTTTTTAACATTTTTAAATCGAGTTGGACCCCCTCATATGTGAGTGATTGTCAACTGAGGTTGTCAATCTCGATTATACAAATAGCATTTTTCGGGTGGAGCCTGAGTTAATCAATTTTCTCTTTTGAAACATCAATTAATTGATTTATTTTAATGGATAAATAGGAACTGTATGGTATGTACAAGTTGTTGTCGAAAATTCAACTAACGCAATCGGAAGAACAAATAAAAGTAGAAGATGAAGCGAGATATGTCAAAGCAAATCTCCTTAAGACAAATTTCGCCCCCAACAACGTGCAATGAGATTATAGATGTTTGTCTCCCAAGATACAACGCTTCTTCCAAAATCGATATTGCACAATACCAACCTTGTCGGTCGAACCAAAGAATGAACGTACTCAAACGGAATAACAACGAAAATATCGAAGGAATTTTTGCAGAATATGGAGAGAGAACGAGTTTAAAAATCAAGNTACCAACCTTGTCGATCGAACCAAAGAATGAATGTACTCGAACGGAATAACAACGAAAATATTGAAGGAATTTTTGCAGAATATGGAGAGAGAACGAATTTAGAAATCAAGAATATATTAATTGATTTGGTGTACAAAAAACGAATATGAAGGTCTCTTCTATTTATAGAAATTGAAGTGTCTTCTTGAATGAGTGTATGACATTTCATGAACTGGTGTACGACTTGGTCTGATTCGTCTTAGTCATTGGATCGCACTATTTCATGATCTGACAGCCTAGATTAAATCATGAAGTGTAGTGTCCTATCATTATACATGTTCACCAATTTCTGAACAGTCGCTAGCCATGCAAATGTCATGCGTACGTCCAACTGCCACGCATGACTAAGTGACGCAACATGTTACGTATGTGCCACCTAGGATGCCAACTCATCGAGCCTCTCGTTGCCATGCCATCGAACCATGAGTCCATTTCTGAAAACTATAAGTGCAAAGTGCGCCTCTAAAGCGTCCAATCCGAATTTTGAGACGTGGGCGGACCCGGACCGGGACCTGGACCGGGACGCTGCGCGAGTCGTGCAAAACACCACTCTAGCGGTGGCTAGTTTGCTAGCCTTTGACTAGTCAAAGGTAGCCAAGTTGTAGGTTACTTATTAAATTATAAATTATAATTTATACACACATCTCACTATATAAATAAGCCTTTTTTCTTGTAAATTTTCGATATTGGATTTCTTACCATATATAAGACATTTAAAATTGAGCTTATCAACTTATGGGCCTATATTGGAGACTTTTCAAATTTACTTAAATTAATTGCTATGACCCACATAATTAAATATCAGATTTAATTATTTAATACCTTATCAATTAATTCCAACACAAGTCACATTAACTCTAGTTCATTTGCATTTTCGACATGTACATGCTCACATTTCAGGAAATTAAAACGAGCACGTTGACTTTCCAAATTTAATGCCACTCAATAGTTCAATCTTTAGAAAAAAGGTTGAAACATGCATATCAACTACACAAGCATGATAGTTTGTGCAATGACCTCATTAAGGTTAAGGGTTAAATCCCATATCGACTAATTATCGAAATAAAGATCAACATATAAGGATTTTGATATACTACTCATCTTAATAAGGTTGACATTTTAAGAAAGAACCGTATTTTAATATGGTATTAGAGCCCATTAAATTCAAACGGACAACTTGATCTGATTAAGACTAAAAAATGAGCATATTAATTTCAAAATTGATCTTTATTTCGATAATTAGCCTGAAATTTATCCCTTGACAACTAAATCTTGAGTTAGCCACTTATTTATGATGTTTTACTTGATAGGTGTTCCCACTATTTGCATCAGTTGGTGCAGTTGTGGACTTATGCAGCATGCAGCTTGTAAGGAATATTTGTACTAATCCCGAAGTTAGGTACATTCACTTCTCTCATTACAACGAAAATTAATATGCTTTGACATGGGTTATTAAGGATCTAATTGATTTGAATCTTAGATCAAACTAGTCTTTCATCTATGCGATGCATAAATTTATATTAAGT